AGACGATTCCTTTTTCTGAAAGAGGCCTTCAAGTCCGGGTTTATCCATTTTGGGCGGTTTGTGATTGTCTTCCTTCTAAGAGGACAATTGGAATAAACAATCTCTTTCAGTAAGGAACTGAAAGTATTCCAGTTATCGTTTACTCGACCATGCAGTTCAGTCTCCCATGATATAGCTGCCGCTTCCCTTCTCATGAGAGAAAAGTCACCTTTCCAAATGTTTCTCTCCCACCTCTCGGGTTGGGCGGGTTTGTAAAACAGTGAGTACTCGAAGTAGAGCGTGATGTGGTCGCTTGACCCTAATGGCTGTCGGTCCTGCAGGTCTAACAGGTTTTCCTCCTCTCGGGTAAAAATAAGATCAAGGCAGTTCGACTGCTGCCCTTCCCTGACCCGTGTTCCAAAGGTAACATTCTGGCAGAGAAGTTTGTCCGTTGCCCATTGTAGTAGTTTGTGATTAAAGCTGTCTTGCGGCCCTTGTGCAGTCCACGTTAGCCAATCAATGCCAGGAGCGTTAAAATCCCCAACGATAAGGACGTCTTTCTTCTCGCTAGCTTGGTACAGTTCGGATATGAGCATGAGATCTTGGTCAGAAGTATGGTTAGGTGAACGGTACACTACAGCCACAAGTCGACCAAAAGGTTCTTAAGTTGCTCGTTAATATATAAAGACCATCCAGTGCATAACTGTGCGTTGAAACTACAGTAGTACCCGGACTGTGTTCGACGAGAAGATAACACCCGCACTCATCCGCAGCTAGCTCAGATTTTTCTCGCAGACAATAAAAAACGTGCCTTCATTTTCATCTCCGGAAGACATTTCCGGATAGGAAAAAGGTATTTCGGACAACGGAAATCGAAGGGCATTCGCCATGGTCAGACACAGATCGACGTGCGCAAACGCTTGGGTAATATCTGGAGACTTGCATCCGGTCTACCTTCACTACAATGGGAATCCTGGGAAAGTAGCTAGATAGTCAGGAATTTATAGTGGTCGTTTTTAAAACTCTAGCAGGGCTTTCGACATGCTTAACAGCCGAATACCTCTGATTAGCGGCTTATAGGCCTATGACTGTGATTTAAACGGGCTGAAGTTCAGACGATCAAGGGAATAGATGACCTTGGAGGGTTTGCAGCGCACTAATAGATTCTGTTCAGTTTTACTTGAGAGGAGTCAGTCATTGCTCAGTGGACTCGTACGTACTGGGCCTCGCTTCAGTAGTCAGGAACTCGGTGCGTCAAGCAGATCCAGATTAGGTTTGGCATGGCACTTTGCCGGCGTGTATGCTTTTTCTCATGGACTCCCTCCCAATATCAGATTTTCTGTATCGTACGATACAGGGACGTCCCCGCACCGTCTGCTTGGCATATGCTCGCCTTTTTTATTTGACCACAGCGTAAACTCTCTCATAGATTGAGACGTTCTTCCAAGCGAATCGATTATCCTTCTTAATTGTATTTTTAGGAATCCTCCACAACCAAACTCGAGTTTGGCAATGACCATTACCTGAGTATTCATATGAGTACTCAGTTATCAGATGAACACAACTTTGCGCCTAACTCATCCACTGCACCCAGTTATAAGTAGACGATCATGGTCATGGCGCATGCATGCGCCATTCTCATCAGTCTCAATCACTACACGCCACGGGGACGCTTTCTGAAGGTTCTTTATCTACTTTGGGAAATTTTACGCTCAAGACCCTGTAGATCAGGATGAGAGCAAAACAGAGGGTCACTTAAATGAACGGGACACCAAGCTAGATGAATGGAATAAGGGCGGACATCTGAATGAGGTTCGGGCGGGAAAGGGATGAAGCTAGACTGGTAATAAGACGAACTTAGCGTAAGAAAGCCAGCGCTAAACTACCTCTGCAGCTTTGCAAGCAAGCGAACTCAAACGCTTTCTGCGGTGAGGTATACTGTTTCCGACCAAACTCTCAGAGTCCCAAACACCCCTCAGAACGTTTGTTCTCATTTTATTTTCTGGTTGGACGCCAAGGTTGTTCGGCAGCTTGTGTCCATGGACATTCCGCTAGGCTCTTCGTGGCCAACTTTCTTCTAGACTCTCGTAAATACCTTCGAGCCCAAACAACCTCCTACCCTAGCCACCGAACCGTTCTAAAGTTAACGCCAAGCTACAATGCAATTATCCGACACTTACGCCGGTGGTTGTTGATGGTTAGCTCCGACTTTTCCTGTCACCGTAAGCCCGAAATGTTCAAAGAGTATGTTCTGGGGCCCAAGAACATCGAACTCTTCGGAGTTTATTCGAGGACGGTACGTCTTGCTGGAGAAGACTCATGAGGTCACGCACGACTGAAAATTTGCAGAGATGGCCTACCTCCAGCTTTTTCCCCTCAGGTCGCCCTGTATCTTTTCTAAAAGAAGTTCATATGGTTGCAGGCCCTTTTTTCACATGCCAAATTTTACGCTCATTTGAAACCGTCCCGTGCATTTAAGCACCTGTCTGGCCCGGTCTGGATTTTGTCGTCTGTAGTGCATACGTCCTTTTCTGGCCTCCCATTTCGGAAAATAAACAATTTCGCGCATCCATACTTTGTGTTTAAGCTTTTGTCTTTACCTATTAGCAAAATGGTTCTTTCCCAGATTGCAATGTCATCATGGAGTAATCCCATTGTTATTTAACCGTCTGCCGTTTTAGCCTTCCGCCCGACCTTGCATTCATTGACAATTGGGAACATCCACTATGTCTATGTTGATTGTCTTTGCGATTATTGGAATCATCGCCGTTGCTTTTCTCGCGTTTTACTTCATTCGACCATTCATAACCTTTTCTCTATTACGATTCTGCCTCTCTAAACGGGCAGACCTGAAAAAAGCAGGCGATTGGGCTATTGTAACTGGGGCGACAGACGGCATTGGCAAAGCGTTCGCTCACGAGTTGGCTCGGGATGGAATGAACGTCTTCCTTATAAGCAGGTCAACTGAGAAACTGGCCAAGGTGGCTGACGAAATCCAGTCCCTTTTCAAGGTGGAGACCAAGATTTTCACCGCCGACTTCACTACTGTAAGTTTTTTGCTGTCCATGCCCTTGCAATAAAACTACTTGCTCATGAGCAACATGTATTCACTTTAAAACCACCTTAATAATAAAGGTGTAGAAGTAATGGCTTGTGTCGACGATTGAGCAACATCATTTGCATTTGTAAGTAATTCACGAGGTCGATTGTATATGCGCTCGTGCATACTTATACTTGTCCCGGCTGTGATCATGCCTCTCCTAGCCGGTGACGGTGATGTCGGCAATTGTATCTCTTAATGCGTATCGATCAGCGGCAACGAAAGTAAGATGCTCTCCTACAGCTACGAAGACCGAATACCGAAGACTAAATAAATATTTCCACGTCTTTATGGAGTCTGTTGACCCCATTTTGAGCTCATCTTTTCGACCCTTACAGGTACGTAACCGTGCCGGATGGGCTACGTCGATGCATTGGACAGACAACTGAAAGTGTGTTAAACCACCTCAGTTACCCTTATTGGATTCAATATGGTATCTTTGGAGTGCAGCAGCGAGTCATAGCTATCTAATTTGGGGAAACTCCGTATATTTCATTCGAAAGACGCTTTTCCGACGACACTAATCAAACACCTCTTTTTTTCGGCAATCTTGTATGTGCACAGCCCGACATTCTCGGGAAAGACCGAATAGATGCCCAATACACGGCGAGGTTTGTGGCGGTGGCTAACACGCTAGGCATGTGGGGACTTTCCAACTATTCGGAGACTCTGCTAGTAGCATTGATTATTGAGATAATGTCGTGATAACACTATTCATTTGACAGCAACTTCCCCTTTAGTTATTTGAGACTCTACGTCTCCGAGTTGACTGCCAATAATCCCTTGGCGTCCAATCTCCTGATCAGGGATGCAGCTCGAAAACACTGGTTTTTCTGTCTATATAGGATAAACCGATTGAGTTAGATAGCTCACCAACCCTCGATAGCATATTCTTTCGGTCATCATAATTTAACGCCGAAAAACGACATCCTCAGTGTAGTTGAGGTAGATCTTTAATGCAATGTTTACGAGAATTATGTCTCGGTAGTTCCGGCACATTTTCTGGTCCTTCTTTTTGAAGGCGGATAACCGAGATCCAGTAATCGGGGACGATCTCCTTTCCTCACGCTTGGTCAGTTTTCTTATTGTGTTGGTGACTTCTCCCTGATAAAACAGTCACAGGACATTGTGTGGGATGTAGAGGGATGAAACCGCTGCAGAGTAAGCTAACTGGAGTAGGTGTTCTAAGTGTTCAGACCAGCGTTCCACCTTGGTCAAGTTGTCGGCAGTGGAGCCGCCATTTGCCTTGCGGACACTCAAGGCAGAGGGGCCGCCAATAAATTAAAATATAACTTTATGAAATCTTAGTGTCATCTATGTATTAGATCTGTTTCGCCGTAGCTGCCACCTTCGCATAATAGATTTTGCTTTTACTTCTAGTCGACTTTGCCAATATTTTTCTGTTTTGGTCTTTGCGGGACCTGGCTGGAGCTGTCTGAGATCACAGTGTCCACAGTGTTGCTGGACGATCGTGAGGATCCCCTCAGCTGCCTTGCGGACCGAGGACTCGGATTGCGAACACTTGTCACTGTTTCCCCCTTCGACTCTGGTTGCAGTGGGAGACTGGCTTTTTGTGTTCAGAGTCTCGGCTGTATTGGGTTGTCGTAGTTTTGAAGCATCAATCAGTCTTGCAAATGACAATTGGGAGTGGATGAGAGGTATACTTGCAGGCATGAGCAAGCAAAAGCATGAACTAGGTTTTCATTTTGACACCAAGTGTCGATACGCTATCATTCAGTCAGCTACGGGACGTTGAACTAACTAGAACGCATTCACCCTGAACGATTAGAAGCATGTGCTGGTGACTATTAACCGGATCCGGCCAGCGAATGCCAACATTCTCCGACCGTTGTCATGCCAAGAGCCAAGCTCAAAGAAAACGGTGAGATTGCTGTTTAGAGGGTTGCCTAACCCAGTGCGGTCATCCCAACCACCAGCGTCAATCCGCAAATCATAACGAGAGTTTTTCACTTAGTCGCGGACAAATATCTTTATTGCGCTGATCGGCAGCTGACGTAAATGCGTGTACAAATATAACAGAGGTGTTCGTAAAGACCCCTTGCTTCGCACGTAAGCAAATCGGCCATTGACTGATTTCCACAGAAACAGTTTATGGCCTGCTTGATACCAACAGTAGATCGTCATACCGTGTCTACCTGTGAGATAGGGTGAGATTGGAGTCGATCCCGTGAGCCTGAGCCGGGTATCCGGATTTCAAACAGGCAGCAGACATTCCCATCGAAGTCATAAAGCCTGTGCGCTCTCAGACTTCGAGCACTAGGGTCAAGGAACGTTTGCATGTGCTAACACCCACTGCCAAGTGTCTGCTTCTGATTACGTAGTCCATCTCTCATATCATCCACCCACACAACTGGGCGGCGTTGCGAATCACATCGGTTCCTATGAATGCCGCAGCGCGACACTTTCATAAGGAATTTTCCAAAAATGTGATTTCGCAACAACCGGTCGATCGGTCTGTTTGAGGTTGTCCTCATTGCGGCTCTGCTCAAGAGTCATACATTATACTCGGTCATTACTCATGGGGCTTTCAGCCCAAAAATATATGGCAGGAACCCGAGTCCCGAATAGCAGTCTGACTGAACCTGTAATGCTCCTTAAGTAATTAGTGCAAACGACCCTTTTTTCGCGTATCTTCTTCATATCGTGTTATTTTCGTGTCTCATTATGCACGTCTTGTTCGGCTACTTCGCTTCTTTTTCCTTTAGACCGACTTTTATGAGAACTTGAAGCGAGTAATTGAAGAACTCCCCTCAGTTTCCATTCTCATAAACAACGTCGGTGTCGCATACTCCCACCCAGATGCCCTGGCCACTTGCGATGATCTGACTCTTGAGAAACTTCAGAGTGTGGTTGTCTGCAACGTGACTTCAGTAACCTGTATGACTTGCATCACCCTACCAAAGATGCTAAGCTCACCACCACCAGTCGGCGTTCATCGCTACATTGTCAATATTGCCTCACAATTCGGTTATGTTACCACTCCTTACCTTTCTGTGTACGCCGGAACGAAGGCGTTTGTAATCCACTTTAGCGCCTCATTAGCTGGTGAGCTAGCTGACAGCTGTGTTAAGGTACAGACTATTATGCCTGGCTATGTGGCGACTGCCATGTCGGGCCTCAAACGACCAAGTTTCTTCACACCTCTTCCTTCCACTTTTGCGGCGTCAGCTTTGTCAATGTTGGGTGTCGCAAGCTTGAATTGTGGCTATCTTGCTCACGAGATATTCCTAACCTTTTTTCTCGCCCTTCCTGCCAGACTGCGCTCTACTATATGTGCACGACATTTGCTACGTTTTCGAGACAAGTACTATAAACGTCAAAAATCGAAGAGTTTATAAGCACACAACCACTGTGTCCTTCTCTTTCTTAATCCCCCAGATTCGTGGTTTCACTGCCGCACATTCTCACCGCTTGCGCCGTCGATTTTACTTCTTTTCCGTTTTTCATTATCTCCAATACGCCCTGTTTACTATGTGTCTTTTTTACGTGACTTGTCGCTTAAATCTCCGCATTGATGTTGACTTTATCATTCCGTGAACTTGTTGAGATCCCATTTGCTAATCGAATTTATTCAAAAATGGCGTTATAATGCGTTCTTTACGGCAATCGGTACGAATTCGAATAGCAGACCAGACCCACTAATAGCGCTGATTCGTTTTGTCGCAGAGCAAGACGGAAACCCCAGAAGGCTCAAAATTTATGCTTCAGTCACACCAGTCTACTCGTCAATGTCGAATGGCAGAGGACACTGGCCGCCAGGCAATGTCTTTTCATCAATTTCGAATGGTGGAAGAGTCTGCACAGGAGACTGGCTGTCGGGCAAGTAGACTTACCCTGGGTGGTTGGGATGGTAGCGTGACTGCTATCACTGCACGGATGTCCGGCATATCTTCCCTCAAGAGTTGACAACAAGGAGTTTCTCAGATCATGAGCCAGGAAGATAAGATGTTAGGACTGGCCCCTAAGCGGGACATGGGAACTTCCTGCCCGAGTAATGGAGGTGGACTTGCACATGATTCCGAAAAGGACAGGATATCCCCGTGTCCTAACCCCAGCAATGGCCCTAGTATAGAACTAGACCATTACCCTAATCTTGACCCTTACCCTGCCTTAAACCTTAACTCTGCAGTTAACACTAGCTCTCGCCTTAACCCTCAACTTGGTCCTGGTTTACCTTACCGTTAACTTTGAAACCAGTCTCAAACCTAGTCCTAACCCTGATTTCACTGGAAGTTGACACAAAGTCGCCCGTATTGCAGGCAGTTCCCGTTATCATTTCCTGTTTAGGAGGCTATATAAGCCAGTCTTGCCGTCAAGATTACAAGGACAGTCTTTTTTGTGGCAGGACGTGTACAATCGGTTAAGAGGTCGGCGGCAACAAATGTTTTATCACTCCGCGAACAAGCCATTGTTGTTCCGTCAGTGTGGGGCACGAGTGTGCGTCCATGTACCATGCGGTAGATCACTGGAGACCAAAATATCATCGCTGAACTGAGTAACTGTGTCAAACGCGACGCAAACAGACAACCGACAGGGATGTTCAGTCGTCACCTCCACACCGAGCAGACTGACGCAGGTGCGCCGACCAGTAAAATACTGTAAGTCCGAGGAAACGCTAAAACGACAATAAGGGGCAGTTACGCATCGCGCTCCTACATTCGGTGTCCACCGGTATTTTGAATTTTATAGCACGAGACGCTCTTGATAAGCGGAGGCGGGTGGGTCTGCGGATTGTCGAGGATTGAATGGAAAACTGATTATCCCATCTCAGAGAGACTTGAGTAGGTAGGCGATGATAATGCGTAGGCATTAAGGCCAAAGGTCGACTGTGTGTCAAAGACGACAAAGAAGAATCCGTAACCGAAGTGCTGCAAGCGTTGAATGAGTGCCCGAACCCAACGGTCAAGTTTATCTCAGCCGTCGGTAACAGGGACGAGGTTGCTAACTCAGCCTTTCTGGTCACCAGCGTCACTAGAACAAAGGTTCTGCCGTCCGTACTTCTGAGACTAACCCACCCACTTCTTCCTTACTCATTTTTCTCCCTCTCACATGTGCGCTCACTAACGACGCCTTTAAACTCAATGGTATTTTCACAGTCGGTTCAGTACGTCCCGCCTTGCATCCCGAAATGCCCGATTAGATTGACCTACTGTCTCAAAATGTACGATAATGATTGAGTCCAAGGATTTGCCTTCGGTCGGCGGATCCTTATTTGACCGTTTCAGCGAGTCGTCTGTTCTATGCTTGGCTCTTTCTGAGAGCGCAAATATTGTCCATCGGGACATTTTCAGTAATTCATCGTCGTCCAGGTTTCACTAGGTCTTTAAGTTTCCCACCCTGCGTACATTTCACGCTAAGGTCTCTGACAGAAGGAAAGTGTGGTATTGGTAAGTAAAACAACATGCCGAAGTAGAACATTTGGTGGAAGTGGTATGCGATCATTTTAATAGTCTGTGGGGGACACACAGTAAAACTACCTGCTTTGAGAGATGACACAATGACAGTCTCCGGTACTGTGCTGCTGGGATAAGTGTAGGAACGTGTCTGGGATCGATGATTTGTTGAAAGGGGGCATGGGAATTTTCCATAGTTTATGAGAGACACGCGGTAACTGCACCGGATCGCAGAGGTGTCACAATTATGTGGGTACCTGACCGTATAGAATTGCCTCTTGAAGAAGCCCTTGGCACCAGGGGTCGAGTATATCAAAGGGACTCTTGTAGACCATCATGAAGGAGCAACTGCTCCCGAACAAAGTGCTGTCTCCCTTTTTTAAAATGAAGTCTTTTAGATTCACACTTCATTCTGATAACACTAGAAACTGAACACTACTTGGAGCAGTTTTACCAACAAAAGCAGGGACTCTGCCTTGATCGTACTTGGGCAAGTTGCCACCATCGGATAGTACTGCCGCGACTCCCCACATGATACCTTCTCTCTGCGGTTCCTGAGAGTTCGTGTTCGAGGGTCTATCTTCTTACTTTTTTCAGATAAGTATGCACTCGCGTGCTTGCTGTAGGAGAGAAACATGGTGTGCCATGGAGAGATGCAGCGTAGGCGCGTGTCATGCAGCAGGTTCATGAGCAGCTTAGAGTTGTATGTGCAGGTGGGGCGATGTGTTTTGACGATTCTCAGTTGTTTTCATCCACCGAAGGATCTCACCAAGACCCCCTCGCCCTACCTGCCTGCACCCCCCCCCCCGGACACACGCACGCACATTCCTCGAAAACACGTCCTCACGCGACACACCATGCATCTCCCCTGCAGCGCCGACGTGGCAACCGAAGTGCCACATGACGGAGCAAACGCATGCAGTGACAAGTAAAACAACATGCCAGAAGTAGATTATTTGATGAGAGTGGTATCCGATCCTTCCAATAGTTTGTGAGGGACACAATAAAACTACCTGATCGTCGAGATGACACCATGACGTGGCTGCAGATTATATAGGGGACATTTGTCAAGAGTCGGTTTCGAGAGTATTTGAACTCTCTAGACAGTGGCCCTGTCACAGAAATTCGAGTACATCAAAAAATATTCCGAAATCCAAAAGTGGAAAAGATCCCTGTTGAACAAAATATTATACCACTGTTTTATAAAGCGAGACTTTTATCTTCTACCAGATCACTGGAGATTAATCATTTACTTTTCAAGAAGTTTCAGTTTACTTGTCGTCCACTCACCTCAACGCAGGTTTGTCTGCATTAATAGTATGTGGATACTGAGGTGGTCGGTTCTTTCCAGGACTCCAGAGTCAGAGATCGCTTCCTCGCACTTCACCTTCAGCATTCTGCAGAAGCGGCTAAAATGAGTGTGACCGATCTCATGAAATGTTGGCTGGATATACTGAAATTCGTTTTCCACCAGGAAGGATTACTTAGGGGCGGTTATAATACTAATTATCATGAGGCATAAACATATAATATGTCGGACTTGGTAGGATTTCAGCTTTTGACTACATCGATTTTGAACTCCTCTAGAGACCGCACTTGATGAAAAAGGACTACTTAGGTAGCATGCATTTTCCCATTGATTTTCGATGGTATTGCAAAATCAAATATATCTTGCAGAAACCACTGACAAAAATATGCTTTCTTTCAGTCGTCTGATAGAGAATTACGTCATCGTCATATTGTATACTCGAAGAAGGAGTATAATTAGGCCTTAGAACGTTTTCTAACTGCCGAATAATTTTGAGCCTGATCGGTCGTAGCACTAACGCTTAGTGATTCCAGTCTATAAGGTGCATGCGCTCCGCGTAAAGAAAATCACACATTCTTCTATACTTTTAAAAAGATATCATATGTGGTCCATAAAATTTTGCAATGGGTGCGGACTATGTTGTACATTTCATGAGGAGCAGTGGTATCGGATAGGTACGATGCTATATGAACGGACATTGCGCGGTTTTAAAAAATCTCATAATTATTAACTTATAAAACTAAGTTATACTCCTTTTTCGAGTATAAAATATAAAGATGACGTATTTATCTATCAAACGACTGAAAGAAAGCATGGTTTTGTTCGTGGTTTCTATGAAATATATGTTTAATAATTTTTTAACCGAGCACTATTTCTACGGGAGATTGAAAAGCAGTGTATTCAAAAGCCGGCATCTTGCAATTCCGAAATATTATGAGATTATGCCACAAGATAATCAGTATTACAACTGGGCCTAGGTAATCCTTCCTAATCGAAAACTCATCTCAGAATTTCAGCCAACATTTCATGAGATCAGTCACTCCCTGAACATGGAAAGGACCGTCTGACGCATTCCTCGCCGTTACACACTGAAAAAACGTTTTCCGTGGACAACTATGTTACTGGCAACATTTTAGTAAGATGGGCATTTAATATTAATATTGTGATGCCGTTCTCAATAGGGTCATCAAGGGCGATGCCAATCACCCTAAATATGCTATACTAGTGCTAAAAAGTATACCTATGGGTCAGCATAGTTTACAACTTAGCAGAGCCAGTAACGGTACCTGCTGGTAGTCATTTAGTGCAGGCGTGAGTAGGTTATGTGTCCCAAAGTCACTGTTAACCAGTCAAAATCCTCTCATCGGGTAAAGGTAGAATTTTATTCCGGGCTGTGAACTCCGGAACATTGAAAACTGTAGCCAACTGTCATCATTACAACGGCAACATTTTTTGCCTCGGAGCTCAAACAACTCATGATCACTCAATTGTTCCTATTGCAAAGCAACTTTGCCTTATTCAAAACCAACTGACATGCAGCTACGCGACTGACTCCGGTCTGAAGGCGGATGCGTCTGTACAGTCCCAGCCGTCTATGCACTTGGTTGCACTCATCCCTCCCCGGCTAATGCAACACAGTAGTTACATCGCCGCAATCTGCCGCACCCTCTTTTCCCCCAGCCAGCTTGCTCCCATGGCCAGAAAAAGTAAAGACGATCTGAGTTGGGCGAGGACGCAATGACTAACGAAGCTGAACAGCCCACCGACGTGGGCCACGCACGACGTGGTTCCTAATTCAGACCACATTGGAGGGCGTGCTTTCCTCGCTGGTAGGGCGTGTATTTCGTGACGTGCGATGTTACGTTTGCTCCGCCGGAGTTGGAGAATTGATCGCATGCCTGCTGCAGGGGTAGTGCCATGTGTCTCCAAGCGTAGTCTTTAGTACAGGCATACTGTGGAATAAATTCTCTCAGACTATTACCAAACCTCGCCCTGATGATTGTCCAACCACAACGATCGATCATGTTAACCGTGTTTCCCTGGTTGGTAATGTCAGAAGACGTGTGTTTTACTTATCGCACTCCTTCTCACCCATCCGAACCCAATGTCAAAATAGAACCAGGAAGGCGGAAGACGGGATCGGACGCAGTGGCTCATCTGCATGTGCTGCACGCACAGGATGGATCAGGTTTTCGCACAATGGGTTGGAGGGTTCCGACCACACATGCGTGAGAGTACCATGGAGGCCACGGTAAGACGTAGCCATTAAGCCTGATTCTCGGCCCCTTGTCAGGCCCTCCACGCACACACACAGCCGACTGTGAGCTCTGTGTTGTATCGTCAGCTGGCAACCTTCCAAGTCACGACGTTAAGCGTGTCGTGGCAGACGCAAGTGCATCGGATTTAATATAAATTGGAATACGCTGCAGTGTCGTGAGACTGATGTCCCCAGAATCCGCTTCACTCGCCTTTTCCTCTCATTTACGCCAGTCGACTGTCCGTACTGTCTGTAGGGATTGGACGCAGTGGCTATATATCCCGCCTGCATGTCACGCACGTAATATAACACGTTGTCCACTCAAATGGGAGGGGACTATTCCGTGCGTGGGATAGGTGGTGTGGAACGGGTTCGTGTGTGGGCTGATGGAGAGATGTGTGTTGATGGTACTATGTCTGCGGTGTTTTACCACAGATGCTCATGTTGGCGCATGTGACCGAATAGGCCCGTACAATAAATGTATCTGAGTGGACAGTGAAGGCAACTGAGGCAAGAGGCGGCGGGTTTATGTTGGTGCTTCCGGCGTTGGTTTGCCAGTCTCAGTGCGATGGATTGGCAAGTGACCTACTAGGTCGATGTGGAAGGCAAAAGTGCGGTCACACTGAGGACAAGTTTGGATAGAGTCCGCATTGTTGGTGCTGGTGGGGGGTGACACTATTAGTGGTGGTATTATCGTTATTATTATTATTATTTCCTTGTCGGCAGCTCCCAAATTGTCTGCGTAGAACAACGGCAATCAAGGTGCACATTCATAGAGAGTGGGGTCCCACAAGGCTCGGTGCTCGGACCAACCCTCTTTCTCTTGTTCATCAATGATTGTGTAGATGGGTTGGACTGTGATTGCGCCATGTTTGCGGACGACATAAAAATCTGGAAAGTCATCCAGAATGCTGCCGATGAGACCAACTTCCAAGAAAATCTTTGTCGATTGGACGAGTGGTCCCGCAGATGGCTCTTGTCCTTCAATTTGAACAAATGCACCATTCTGCGCCTCGGAAATCAGACCCCTAGTACGCGGCAATACCATCTGAACGGAATGCCACTCCGAGAAGCAGAAACTCAGAAAGATCTCGGAGTTTGGGTTGCGGACAGCCTAAAGCCTTCTACACAATGCTGTAAGGCAGCCAAGGCCGCAACGTCAATGCTATATGCCATCAAGCGGGCATTCGTAGTTTTCGATGAAGACTGCTTCACCAAAGCCTTCGGCACGTTTATAAGGCCCCATCTCGAATATGCAATTCAGGCCTGGAGACCGTGGACGCATCAGGATTACGATCTGCTCGAAAGGGTGCAGAGGCGAGCCACAAAATTAGTAAGAGGTCAAAGTGCACAGCCATACGAGATCCGCTTAACTAACCTTAATCTCTATCCTCTGAGTTATAGGCAGTTGCGCGGAGACATGATACAAACTTTCCGTATCGTGCGCGGCTTGGAATGTGCCCTTCGGCGCGATGAATTTTTCCAACTCGCCACTATAACTCACCTCCGGGGACATCCCTTCAAGCTACGTGTGCCACAGGGTAGACTGAATGTGAGAAAATATTTCTTCTCCAACCGTGTCGTGGAACCGTGGAATAACCTGCCCGAGACGGTTGTTATGTCTCAATCTGTGAAGACATTTAAATGTCGCCTTGACAGATATATGCTGCAGCAACAAGCGGACTATGTGACTTTTTAGCCATGTGACGAGTGACATATGTGAATCAATGTATGCATTCAATTAATGCTGTAATTTCTTCACATTTTTGCTTGTTTATCGATTTTATTATTTACAAATAGGGAGTTCAAAGGCGTAAGCCTATTTCCCTCAAATTCACTGACCGACTGACTGATTATTATTATTATTAGTAGTAGTAGTAGTAGTAGTAGTGAAATTTGCGATCGGTGGGGCGCCGGGAGTGTTATCACTGGTGGTGGGAGTGGGAGGAGTGGTAGTGGTCGCCGTGGTCGCGGGAGGTCAAGGCAGTGATGATGAATGTGGCGGTCTGCTGCGGCCACGATGCAACGAGCGTATGCCCACCGGTGGTGGCCGTCGTTGTGGGAGTTGCGGCATGTGTGACTACGGAGGCGTTTTCGGAGGCAGCAGATGGAACCGTTTTTGTCTGACGAGGCCAACCCTTGCGCGGAATGTCCGTTTAAAATATGGACACAATGGGATGGGTGGATGCTGGGGTTGTGGATCCGAGGCGTGTGAAACTTTTTGGCCGCGCTTTTGACTTTGACAGAGGAAATCCAGTTGGTTGTGTAGATTACTGCTCCAGTCCTCCCTGCTCATCTTCAGGCTGGTCGATCTCGAGTAAGATCATCTTAGGTCTCCAGACCGATGCCTACATCCTTGAGAGATGCCTATAAAGTATGAATATGACGTTGTTTTTGTCCGCCGTGTGGGCTAGCACTCGTAGCGACATCTCCATAGAAGGGTAACTTGAACAGACACTCGTTAACCATCCTCGCAAAGTGCCCCTCAAAGGTAGGTTTAGGTGTTGCGGTACAGCCTGAACATGAGAATTTCCGCCGTTCCAGTACTTCCATGTCTGGTATCTTGTCCTGTCATCCGATCTCTGATATTCTCCGGAGACAGCTAAGATGGATGCCTCAGCTGGCGTAGACGGTCCACGTCTCCGCCTCGTGCAGGGTATCCTCGTCACCACCACTGTTGAGCGTACTTTAGAGCATTGTGTTGAGACGAATTCATCGGCGGTTCCAAAAGGAGGTCTGTAGACGGCCGGAGGCATGGCTGATTTTGGAAATCCGCTGTGCAACTTTACCTTCGATTTTGGTATTCGGTGAAGTTGTACTGCCTAAGGTGGCAAATGTGTGCACTAGTTTGAGTTAAATACCGTTGAAATAGATGCGAGGATCGTTGTCTGACATTGGCTGATGCATGACCATCGCAGTATCCATGTTGATGGCCAGACCCAAGTGTGCGAAGCTGGCAGCGAAGAGGTCCACGCTTTTTTGCATATCCACATCTGTCGTTTTTTTGGACGCCCAGTCGTTTGCGAAGAACAAGTCGTGTAGAGTAGTCGTGTAGCGACACGTCAGGGCCTCTATGCGTTGGATGTTGAAGAGGCCGTCTGTCTTGTAGACGACATTGATGTTTAAGCACTCTTCACGGAAGGAGTCCATAAACATAGTAAATAACATAAGACTGAGGACTGCGGGGGCGAGTATGCAGTTCCGCTTCACATCATTAGTCGCCGCGAATGCTTCCGAGACTGCCCCCTTTTGTCCGTGACGCGCGCCATCAAATGGTCATGAAGCTGGCTTACCTTTAGAGTGAATCGTTCGCGAAAGTGTCTAAGGCAGGTGCAGGTTGGTCTGCAGTTTCTGACATTGCTCTTGCATTTGGCTGACAACGAAGATGACGCCGGAATCTGCATTGATAGCTGCACTGTCGTGCGGGAGGATGTCCACCGTGTGATCCACAACAATGTATAGCAGTCACGGTGACTTGCGCCTGAACTAGCTTGCAATGAGAGTAAACTTACGCGGCATATAACGCACTCTCTCTCCTCCTCACCTGGGACCGTTGTCAAGACAGAGTCGAGAAGATCGGGGGCGGGGGGACACAGGTGGATGGCGCGACCGGACCCGCACCCAGGCGTATTATTCAACATCCTCTAGTCCTACACCTAAACGCCGACCGAAATGCCTCTCCCAAACATCAGTGCTATGTTAATGGGACGGCATTAGAAACTGTAGAAGGGCACAGAGATCCGGGTGTATGGAGGACCACGAATCTGATGCCATCAGAACACTGTAAGAAGATGGTCCAAAGGGTAAATAATACATTACACTGGAACAGATGTGCATTTAAAATATTATCTCCCGAACTTCTCGACAGAATTTTCGGAGTGTTTGCAAGACCCCACCCGGAGTATGGAATGTCATCAGGTTCACCATGAATAAGAAGGGTACTGACCTCATCTAACAAGAGCAACGCAGAGCAACGAAGATGGTCGATGGTCTAGAGCATTTGTCGTACCAGGAGAGGCTGAATGTGCTTGGCTTGTTCCCCCTCTCTCTCTGCTAGGCAACTAAACTACAGTCTACTCTGGACATTCCGGATTGCTCGAAACCGAGGTTGCTCACTGAAACCGAAGGACTGCCTTGAGTTTGCCACTAAAAGTCAACTACGCGGCCATCCCGATAATGTCAAGAGCTAACGCACGCGACTCGATCGTAGGAAGTGTTCCTCCAACCGACGAATTGTCCGACCATGGAGCTTGCCACCAAGTGAGATGATGACGGCCGACATCACTTACATGTTTAAAAGAAGACTTGCTCGCGTAATTTTCGACAAAGATCGACTTTTACTATGCGAATACACGCCGCCAGTTCGCTAAAACACTTTGCTATACACAATGCGAGCCGACTCGCAGTGAACAAATGCGCTTACTTGTTATTAATGCTGTGTTGAGAACCCAGCAAATTCTTAATGTTTGCAATTATATTTTTAGTGCGAACATGCGAAATCATTGTACAAAATTGGATCATCAAGTTGTCTGCCCCTAACCCTTCAATACCTACACACTTGGCTGATATTTAAATCAACAACACCAGCACAACAATGGCTAGGCAGCCATGCTCACGACCTATATACCCAGCAGAAGGACCAGTGCATCTATCGATAGGAAAGCAGGCGCCGTCAAATTCCAGCGCACGCCAGGCTGCGAGGGTCACAGTTTGCTGATCATGGAAGCTTACGTCTCTTGAGGTGCAGAAGGGGTAACACGCAGCCCAGCCTTTGCCTGTGCCATCACCCTTCAAAGTCCAGGTAACTAATCAGTCATCGACTGAGAGGCACTTCCATGTGAACACACTCCTCACATGCGTATAAGTGTCACAGAGCACTTCAAAAAGTCGCCGTGACAGCCTGATTCTTAGCCTATCAGCCCTCTATTCCGCACAAACACGCATAACTGGACAGACTGAGTGGACTGAGGTGCGGAGTCAGTCGGCAGTCTCCCAAGCCACGGTGCTGTGCTCACCGTGATAGTCTCGGACTCGGATCTCACCTTCAGCAGAGGAGCCAAATAGAGAAGAAACCCAGAAGCCCACTCACCACTTGCGTGGGAGGTGGCACTTGAGTCCTTGCGTTGTGTTATGATGGGTGTTGTTGTGTGGTTCAGGTGCTGATGGAAGAATGTGTGATGGTGTGACGCAGCCGGCGGTTGTCTACCGCGGGTTTTCATGAATACGTATGTAGCATAATAGACCCATGAAGTGAGTGAATGTGCCGGTGGCTGAGAGGGCATTGAAGGCGGATCCGGCGAGTGTAGGTTGGTGCTCCAGGCACTGATTCACCAGTCTCTGGGCGATGGATTCGCAAGTGACCGGCCAGGCTGATGTGTGAGGTGGATGTTAGATCGCGATGAGGACAAAGATTACCCGAGCCCACATTCCTGAAGGTGGGTGCGTTAGTGGTGATGGTAGAAGATGATGAGATGACAGGCGTCGTCCCGTTGGTGTGGGAGTGCGTGAATATGCGGCGGCGGTGATGCTGGCCGCTGCGGTTGATGCAGGGGTTGGGGCAGGGCGGGTGATGTCAGTGGACGGTGGCAGCAGGGCAGCAACATTGTGATCGACGGTGACAGAGGCAGAAATCGGCGTGGGGGTTTGCGGCAGGAGTGAGAGTGGGAGAAGAAGTAAACGTTATCGGGTTGACGGCGAACTGGGCCCGAAGCTGTTCCATGAAACCGATTCGCCCGTGGAATGCTCGTTGGCATCCCGGACATGTTGGGAGCGGCGAATGGTTCGCATTGAAGAGGCGAGGTAATTGTGACTTCCGAATCGCCCTTTGGCTCTGGCGTCGGCGATCCGATTTGCGCCGGTCTTCTCTCTTCTCTTCGCCATGTCGGTCTGTTCTGGGGGAGGTCGTTACAGGTCTCCGAGTGGATCTGCAGCCGTTTCAAAAAGTCCTTCAAGGTGTCCATGTAGAGCCGTTTTTTTCCTCCTTGCCGACTAGTACCCATGGCGATATAAACAAAGAATAGTTTTTTTGGCAAACGTGTGTCCTCCATCCTCATGAAATGGCCGTTGTAACGTAACTGTAGTTTTCTCAGTATGGCGGGACTGCTGAGGATGCCGATTCGTTCTAGGAATTCCGTGTCGGGGGTCCTGCCTTGCCCTCTCAGCTTGAGTATTCCGCGAAGGCGGCTGAGATGGAAGTGGTTGAGTTTCTTCACAAGATTGGAATAGACGGTCGAGGTCTCCGCTTCGTAGAGAAATGTCATCAGGGCGATGGCCTAGTACATCTTCATTTGGATATTCATTTGGAGGCCATGACGATTCCACGCGGAGTTCTGAGGTTGGCCGAAGTCTTGGCCGGCGTTAGAGGCCCGGATGTCCACTTTGCCTTCGATTCTGGTGCTGCTGTAAAGTGTGCTTTCGAGATAAGCAAAATTATCCACGCGTTTGATTTAGTTGCCATCGAGAGGGACTCGAGAAGGACTGCAGTGTTGCATGTAGAGTGAAGGTTAGGGCATGACCACCGTTTTGTCCCTGTCGATAGTCCGGCCGAAGTTGGCGCACCCGGCGACGAGGAAGTCCAAGCTCCGTTGCACGTCCGCTTCGGTAGTGGTTGATAATAGCTAATCGACACCTTTACTTAATTACGAGTGGCGTGTTTCGAGGCACACTTTATGGTCTGTTAATCTTCCTTCTTTACATTAACGATATAATAATAATATTAATAATATTTCAAGTGAAATCAGAAATTCGCAAAAGTTGATTTATACCGATGACCTCAAGTGTGTTTACTCATATTCCAAAGATACCGCAGATGTTTGTGCTGAAAAAAATGGATACTGATATACTACGCTTATGGAAATGAAGATCAACATGACAGATGGGGTTTTCATCACCTAAGTGTAGTTTAATATCTTTTGATCAAGCCATGCTTCCAGGTCCCCTAATTTCAGAATAACCAACTGTCACAATGCTTCACTATAAAGGATCTAGATTTATGTTATCCAGGTAAGCTTACTTTATCGCCTCATACAGATCGAATCTCCGCCAAAGCCGCCCAAATATATGGGTTCATATCACATAATTATTTCTTTCAGAAATAAGGCTTAGACTTTATCAAATGGTTGTTCTTCCTGTCCTGGGGTACTGCTGTCCTTTATTTGGTTTAATGAACGCCTGTGACCGTAATCAAATGGAAAATGTTCAGAGGCTTTTCACGCGGAAACTCTTCTCTCAAGCAGCACCCGGTACTTCTTATATTAAATAATGTCAGCTGGCGAACATTAAGTTTTTGTGGGTTAGAAGACTCAAATCTGGTCCTTGCTTCCTTTTTCGCATTAACTCTAGTTCCAATCTTCCGCGCATTGACACTCTCACTCCAAAAGACCGGTCTTATGCTAAGCGTAATTCCTCCATGGTGATTCCGAAGTCTCTTTGCACTACATCCATGCGCTCCTTCTTTTTTCTTCCAAATATGCCCTTCTTTGGAATAATCTCTAGCCGAAATAAGGGCATCGCCTAAGTTGTCCGCAATTAAGTCGAAATTACGCAAGTACCGTACACCGGAAAGCATAAAGTCGCTGTTGACCGTTTCATTCCCGAACGCTCAGTTTCTTGACTTTGAGAAGGGTCCTGTTGGGATTTAATGGTAGGTTACACATGTCTTTCTTTTTCAATTGGAAACTATCACTAATAACTGTACGAGGCCTGCTTTTATTTGGTTACTAAATCCACTGTTATCACTCCTCCGCTGCAGCGATTACTTTCGCTGTTTTTTGATGCCATCTCCTCATTTCAACCCCAAGCATTCTGTCCTAAATCACGTCGGAATCCTCTGTCTTCGCTACCTGCTTGTAGGTTAGTCGGTCGCCAAAGAGGTCTCATGGTCGCATCTCCCCTCTACGTTTTGATGACCGCCTCAGCCTTTAATGTCCCCTCATCGTCTGGACTGTAAGTGGACTATGACCGGTGGCGTCTGTCCTCCTCCCGCCTCGCCATTTGGACGCTGACGGCCTAATCTGGTTTAAGACTTGTGCTTTAGCGACGTCTGTTCCAAGTCCCTTATGCACTTTCATATGCAGGTCAGTCCTGTCCGACCCTCATATTTACCCTTTCATGAGCGACGGTTTTTTCTACCTAAAAGTTAATAAAGTTTCATTTATTTTGCCTTTTCACAAGAAAGAACTTTCCCCACCTCTCGCTGACGATTTTTTTTTCTAAATCTGACTGCTTATTATATAAGCATGAACTGAATACTATAAAGAGTCTGTCTACTTGCCCTAATGTGCACTTGAAAATTTATTTTTCCTTGCTATAATAGTATCCTCAGGGGTACTCCATGAAACAGTTAATTAATTTGTCATAAGTTTCCCGTGATCTACAATCATTCATTTCGCACCTTGAGGGATTTTTAAATAGGTGCGCTTATTCTTCGTCGGTTCAACCATTCCAAATGAACTCCTTTACCTGGCGAGCTTGTTGGTCTGCTTCAGTGGTTGTCCTGATATGTTGACCTGTGAGCGCCGCCTGCCGAACGCTACATCAAAACTCTTCCACATCAATCCTCAGAGCGCTATCAAGCATAATGTCTACTTGATTTTCGTCACTGACACTCACTCGTGATAAGACATCCGAGGCTCTGAACTTCTAAGCGGGCTGCGGTGTCATAGCACAGAAGAACCGTACTCCATCGCCGTGTTAGCTTGAATGCGTATTGCGGCGCGCCACGATTTGTAACGAATTAAAACTTTGACTGCTTGTGATCTGAATGCAGGACGAAATGTCCACCGCGAACAATCTGATAGAACTTCTGTAATGCATAGATTGTTGGTCATGCCTTCGTTTCTATTTGGCTTTAGTTTCGTTTCGCCTTCACGAGGGATCGTGAGGCAGTGCCCTTATTTTTTCACAGTAAATGCATCGTCGCGAATGGTATGCCCGAGTCTACTTCAGACGTCCCAATGAACAGGATAAATCGCGATATAGAATTATTTCAACAATGCCTCAAATGCCCATTACAAGAGAACGAAGACATCACCGTATTGAAGGCTTCCAGAATAGGACCAATTAAGGATTTTAAGAGCGAGTCGTGCGATCATAGACTATTAAAAACTGTTCTCAAAAAAGAAGAACAAGTTCTACTACTGTTAAACAGGAAACCAGCATTCCGAGATACCCACCCAACAATTTTTTTAGCAGGATCTCTCACCGGCCGAACGGGAGAAATAGAGGGAACTCAAGACCGAAGTCCTCAGAAGATACAATTCCGGTGAGAATAACCTAAGAATATTAAATGGGAAAATCGTAAATGTTCGCAGCTCATTCATCCAAACACAACCCACAACACTGAGCATAGCGAACAGCCAGATTATGAGGACCCGAAAACTCACACAAAATATCTAGGGACTTCGACCGAAAAATAGTCCAGCAATCCGCCCGGGCTAAGCTCCGGCTTCTTTATGTAAATGCCCAGAGTTTGTTCCAGAAGCTAGATGGGATGAAAGTGTGAATATCAGATACGCAGCCGGCTGTCATTTCTATCATAGAGATACGGTTCCAGGCTGAAGTCTTGGATGCCGAAATTGCACTCGATGAATGCCAACAATTTCGCCCAACACGGACGGCATAAAAATGAGTGGGACTAGCGATTTAAGTCGTGAGGGGAATCCTCGCGTCAGGATATACAATTGATTGCTCACGCGACTGTGAAGCAATATGGTTAAAAATAAGAATGCGCGGTGCATCTAATCTGGATTTACTGGCCGTTTACAGGCCTCCCAATCAGACTCCTAAGGTTGACGCAGCGATGTTTGGGCTTATTAAATAGGGGACACAGAACTAAGAGGTATTGATAACCGGAGGCTTCAGCGCACCGATGGTTGACTGGAACAATTTATTAGTAAATGGTTCGCGAAATTCCTTTGATTCCAGGCTTTTGAAACTAACGGCTAATCTGTTTCTGGTACAGAATGCTAAGTTTTCAACCAGGATAAGAGAGGACCAAAGAGCTGATTTTCCGGACCCCGTCCTTACAAAAGACCCAATTAGTCCTGGCGAACATAGGTCATAGCATCGCTCGGTAAGAATGATAATTTCATGCTTTTTTGAGAATACCGCCTACGCAGCCAACAAGTTGATACAGCTGAGCCTCGGCTGAATTTCTGGCCGAAAGAGAATGAGGTAAGGTCGGCTATCTGCAAGTAGCGGATGGAGTATGGAATGTGAGTTATGGAAAAAAGTGCCAAAAGTGCGCTTCGGTTGCATCAACAGCAGGCTAAAGAACAAAGAGACGGTCTTAGTGTTGAAACGAGAAAACAATGAGAATATCATCGAAAATGACTCTAAGGCAGAACATCTTAGTCGGTTTTTCGCATCCGTTTTTTTGCCGATAAAACGGAATTCGACGAGGCTGGATTACCTACTGAAACAGCTGACGAAATAATTGAAAACATCGATTTCACAGAAGAATATGTGAGGAAGGAACTTCTAGCGCTTGATGAGGGTACGTCTCCGGGTCCAGACCAAATTCTGGCAAAAGTTCTGAAGGAGTTGCCTCGCGAACTCGCCAGACCGCTTTTTTATATTTTCCAGTCGTTCTTTGACCGAGGCCTTCTCCCCTCTGATTGGAAAGTGGCGAATATGTACCTCATTTACAAGCGTGGATCTAGAACATGTGCAAACAATTATCTGCCGGTTAGCCCAATGTGCATTTGTTACAAAGTTATGAGGAAAATAGTCAAATAGCCATTATGAAGCGAAGAACTTCTTTTTGCTAGTTCACAACATGGGTTTCGACGAAAGCACTCCTGTTTAGCTAATATATTCTATTCATTAGAGCACTGAGCCCCGGTGGTTAGACGAAGGAACAAGGATCGATATCGGTTACATCGGTTTCAAGAAAGCGTTTAATAGTGTTCCACGCCAGCGGTCACTTTACAAGGTCCAAGAGTCCGGGACAAAGGAGAATCTATTAAACTGGGTAGAGGACTTTCTGACCAGCCGATCACAGTCTGTGTCCATTGGCAGTGCGAAGTTAGCGCCAGGCGCAATTGTGAGTGGAGTTCTCAGGACTTTGTGCTCGAACCAGCATTGTTTTTAATTTATGTCAACCATTGCATAAGTGGATTGGACTGCTATGGAGACATGTTTGCCGATGTCATCAAGATATGGCGAGCGATCAAGGGTGAAATGATGAACAGACCGTACAATAAGGACTGAACAGCCTACACGAAAGGTCCGATGGAGAGGATCATCATTACGTGCTTGG